ATGATTAGAATTTTAATAAAACCTAAACATATGAAAGTGAATTTATATATTCTCTTTATCCTTGAGAAGTGATAACAGGTTAAAAACTATTTTTAGTTATTTTTTTTATTTTTAAATTAGCAACAGTTTTAAATTTTCTAGAATTTTTCAGAATATTGCATTGTAGTTGGTTACATATTCTGATAATTTTGTAATTTTTTATAAATAGATTTTGAATAAAAAATGTCTTTTCAAATTTATTTCTTTTATAAAAGGTGATCAAATATTGCATTGAATTTGGTTCACAAATTTTTATAATCTTATAAATAAACATTTTTGAGGGAGACAAAAGTAATAACAATGTCAAGGGGATAAACATCCTTTTAACAATAGAATTTTTTTTTTGTGGGTGCACAGGTTAAACATTGCTGTTTTATTTTATTTTTATTTTTTTTTTATTGTGGAATGAGTCATTGTTACAATAAAAAACATCTCATTGTATGAAATCACATGACAGGAACATGACATATGTCTGTTTGACCTGATGTTTTTTGGTAGGAAGTAGATTCTTAATGTTTAGTGTCATTCAAATCTTGTGACTATCCAATCAAACTAAATATCTTTGTAAAGATATTAACGTAAACTTTTGTCATAATTTCTTGGATGAGAAGTTGTGCCCTCCAGCCTAACTTAGGTGTACCGTATATACTTGTGTAACAAGCAATATTTATTTTACATACAGCTGTACTTTTTGACTACAGTAAATGGATATTAGGTCTCCAAAAGTCACACTGTATATACTCATGTATCATGTATCGATCTGGGTAACCTACAGGGAATTCCAAACTGAACCCTTTATTTAATCTATGGGTGTAGACTGTTCCTGTACCACTGCTCATGTGTAGAGATATTGTCTAGTTCTTATTTTTATTTAGTATCTAAAAATTAGACTATATCCCTAGATATGAGCAATGGAAAATAAGAACAGTCTACCCCTGTAGATTAAATAAAGGGATCAGTTTAGAATTCCCTGTAGGTTACCCAAATTGATCTACACCTGAGGAAGGCCAGAGAGCACAACAGTCGAAATATTGTGATAAAAACAACCAAAATGAGGACAATAGTCCGAATATAGTGTAAATAACATAAACTTATTACAAATAAATAAAAATATAGATGTTTTGCATGATAAAACATCACCAGTTAATTATAGCTTCTTTTTTTTTTATTATAAAGTTACTATATTTGTGGCAATTAATCTTTTTATATACATGTTTATATCTTGTTTACCGCTATTTGAATGATTGGCAATATGCTACAATTCTTGCAAGATGGTACTCTCTGCCATACTACTACATCTGTTAAAAGAAAATGGTTTCAGAATTATGATAATTAATAACTTAGGCTGGCTTCTCAACTCACTGGATCTTGATCTGATAAAGAATCTGTAAGATATAAAGACTGCAACTATGAATGGCATATGACCATATCACATTGAAACACTAGCTCTCGTACAATCACTGATGTTAAGCAACTTCAAGCCTGGTCATTAGTATCTAGATGAGTGACTGCATGGGAATACCAGGTCCTGTAAGCTTGGATGTGCAGGTGGTATAATGGATAATGGCTTGAAATTTTTAATCAGAGGGATAAGTTTCATTTCCTATTGGGTTCATTATACTCACTTATGCACAAATACCCTTGAGTAAGGCATGACTCCACCTCTTCTCTTCCCAGCTATGGGTTAATTAGTAATACTTGTACCCATTATTGTCCCCCCACAAAAAAAATCTTAAAATCTAAATATTTTCCTAGGTTTAAATAACCTGCAGTGGGTTGATAAGCCCTAAAAATGAATGAATCCATCAATCCATGAAATACTGATTATCTACACAACCATGTCACTTAGATTTACATTCTCTGAAATATAAGTGTATTGAAACTGCAGTGGTTACAAAGTGTGTGTGGTTTGGGGGGAGGGGGGTAATTTATATATAGATTGCTCATTTTATATCCAAATAATTTTGTTTATCAAATTCTGAGTAGGTATGTATCAACCTCCCCTAAGCTATGGGTTAATTAGACTTATCACTAAACCATTATTATCAAAAAAAAAATCCTTACGATCTAAAAATATTTTTTGGCTTTAAATAACCTGCAAAGGGTTGATAAGCAATTTAAAAAAAAAAAAAAATCAATCAATCAATCAATCAATCAATCATGCAACTACGAATATCATCACCACAGAAAAAAGTAATAAAGAAAATTGGGGTTGATCCATGCAAAATCTTGTAGTATAAATAATAGGTCAGAGCAGGGATCAGAAATGCTTGTAAATATTTTTTTATTTTCAGTTACATGTTTCTTATTTAGTAAGTCTCTTGTATACAAAAGAATGGGATTTCCAAACTTTTATAAGATACTGTATTGTATCATTGTGATTAATAAAAAAAACAATTGCCTCAGTTCTTTTTAAAGCTTTAGTCTCTTTTGAGCCTTTTTTTTTTTTTTTTTTTTTTTCAAAATCGTGGTTTAAAGTTTTTTTTTTTTTGTTTTTTTTTCCCTTGTTCCTTTCTGATAAGGAGTGTATTGGGAATAGCTTTTTTTTAGATGCTGTTAAATGTAGTGCACATTAAGAAAAAACACTTAAATGATATTGATTTATTTTCTGACATTTTACTTCAGAATAATAAGCCTCCTCGTCCGCCACCACCAGCACCGAAGAATTCCTCGCAAAACTCTAAACGACCCCCACCAGAACGGCCCCCACCTCCCAAACTGACCACTCAGTCATCTTCAAAGGATATTGATGATGAAGATGAAGGCTTCCGGCCTGTTAACATAGATGCAAATCTTGTAAAGAATATGTTGGCTTCTTATGGAGCTCAGCAGGGACTGCCTGGGCCTGCAACAAATATTCTGTCATCCATGGGCATCCAAGTAAAATCAGATAGTAATGTAGCAGAAATCAATGGCAGTAAGTGACCAGGGGAGTGGACAAACAGATACAAAACAGTTGTTTTATTTTTATTTTTATTTTTTTTGCTCTTGTTATTCAAACAGTCTATTAAAATCTTCCTTTGCAGCAACAATAATTTTCCGTTCACAGGAAATAGAATTATGCTATCCTTTATATTTAAATATCTCTTTTAGCCATTTTAAAATGTAGAGGGATATCAGTGAGTGTTGGAGCTTTCATCCCTCATTTGTTTCCACAACACAGTATGATTATAAAGTCCCTTAATTGAAGATTTTTGACAGCAATTAGACTAGTAACAGTCATACTAAAGTTTTTTTTTTTTTTTTTTTTTTTTGACAACAAATGCAGTTTGCAAGAAACATGTCTAAATGGTTCACTATTCCTGCCAAATGAGTACCCCTCCCCCACATTTAATCACAGGTAACTTATTTGTAGTAGTCAAGCTGAGAAAAGATGTTCACATCTTGCTGGTTAATCTGGGGCAGTCTTAAACTATGATTGAAAAGTTTTACCCAGCCTATTAACCCCCTACCAGGAGCTGAGAATGTTGTGTGATATTTCTCAAAAGAAATACTGACTTTGAGATTATCTTGAATTATAAATCTTTAACTTTATAGCTTTTAATGTCTTTTATTATATTGTATTATAATATTTATTTTAAATAAAGAAATATGCTAAGATTGGTTATTCAAGTCTTAAGTGGAAAATGTTTTCCATCTCCTTCTCATGTACCCTCTCAAATATATGTACAGGATTCCTATTATCATTATTTTATATTTACAGAAAATGAAATGATGGCCCAGTATATGCAAATTTATGTTTAATACTAGAAACCATTTCAGCTCACACTTTTCTAAATGCAAAACTTATATTGGAAATATTGCATGCGTTACAAAGGTCAGATGCTACATTATATAATAAATATAGGGTTCCTATTGAATGTTTGTAATGTTCACATTTCAATCTCCTCCTGCTAGTGTTGAACACACTATTTCCTGCTTGGTTAATATCTAACACTATTTACTATTGAAGCAGTTCATTCAAAAAAAAAAAATAAATAAATAAAACAAACGTTTGTAACAGCAGCTAAAATTGTATTAATATGTACAGTATTATTTCAGTACCTATTATTGAGATGACAGCACCTCAAATGATTCAGTAAGATTTTTAGATTAACTTTGCAGTTGTAGAACTCTTAAGTGAGCACAGAAAAAGTATAATTTAGGTCATCTAAATTATTAATATTAAATACAGTGAAGTTATTTTATCTTTGATGGTGCTTTATTCATGTCACTCTAATTTAACATTTATTTTATGTTAAAAACTCTTAAATCCTCCTTTTTATAACTGCCTTCATCAGTAAAGATTATCATTACAAGGCTTTTTTCATGTGTACAACCATCCTAATTTGTTTCATATGAAGTTGATTTTACTAAGCAAAAATTAATTTCTGTCCATTTCATTTTTACAATCATTATGGCCATAATTTAAGTGCGATAATGATTTTGTTCTGAAATTAATTTAGCATTTTAAATTTCTTTATAAATTCATCTTTTATCTACAGTATTCCATGACTGCGTATTAATCTTTTGGGCCGTTGTGTGAGGCCAATCACTGCAGATTATATGCCCTTAGTAAATTTCCACTCTTAAATTTTGAAAGATAAAAAAAAGCCTTCATTGAGTTCTGCATCTAAGCCCTACTCATCCTAACCCTCATGTCTTTCCATAACAAGAGCCTTGCATTGGCTCAAGCTGGTATCTTCTTAATTCCTATATCATCTTTGTTTCTTTTTTTTTCTTCATGTCAATGTGAGCTTTATTAGTTTTATTTTTATAAGCATTTTCTGATGTTCACCTTGTATTATTGTATACTCCATTCTGTGGGGATTATATGTATAGGAAAAATTAAAACATTTGAAAATTCTTAACTGGTTTTTATTTTCTTTGTTTATAAAATTGATAGTGAATTTTTTTTTTTTAATGTTTACATAAAAGAAAAATGGTGGGGTGTGTCAATACAAATTTCATAAGCTTTCTGTCTACTTTTCCTGAGTTGAAGACTGGGACACAATTAACATCTCTTTTAACTCTTTAATCTGGAAATAAAAATAAATATGGTTTGAGGTAGATAAAGCACAGATTGTTCATTGATGAAAAGGACATGGCTTGCATGAAAGCCTGTTGTGTGAGTGCAAGTAATAAATGATTAACACAAAACAATATAAAACAATGTATTAACAAAAGTATTTTTTTTATATATAATGAAATGGACAAAGTTTGATAATTATTATAGCCTGACGTGCTTTACCAATTGAGCCACAGAGGAGCGTTTTGGTTAGCAAGGTTGAATATAGACTTGCTATATGATGGGTCCATTCCTGTCAAAGCATGCATATTTTCTATATCTGATCGGGCATGATTAGACCATTTGGTCACAACCATCAAGGTTCAATTAACCTTTGGAAGAATATACATACTCTTGTTCAGGTCGCGAAAGCTCAAATGTTTTTTGTTTTTTTTTTCTCAGGAATCAAGTTTCTTTATCTGACATTATTTCCTATTATGTGTGTGTGTTATATAAAATCATTTCACCCCAAGCAAGGTGATAATGCCATTAGGATACAGAAAGAGACCAGGAAGAATTGAGTGAGGTAAAAGACAAAGAAACCTGATTCAGGAAAACAGAAGAGGCGATTGACATTGCAATTAAATTTTTGGAGATTGTAGATGGCAGGGAAGCAAGAAATTGGAAGAGAGTTCCACACATGAGAAAAGAAACTATTAGAATAGAACTGACGGTTGCATCTAGCTAGTTCAAAAATAAAATGGAGAGACCTAGTTGCCAATCTAGTAGCACACTTAATTTCCTATAATCAAGGCACTAAGGAGAACAGCCCATCAGAACAATTGCCATGAAAATATGTGTAGAAAAGACAGAGGGAAGCAATGTCACATCAATGGGAAAGTGAGAGAAGTTGAGATAGATATATATATATATATATATATATATGCACACACGCTCTGATCAGCTTGGACAAGGTAAGACCAGTGACCCGAGTGAAGACACTCGGGTCCCCACAGTTAAAAACCGACCTTGTGTCACAACCTGACTCAAAGGGGTTGATTTACTTGCCTCCTCTCTATCTCAAAACTATGGTACATGGTAGCATTCAAGTAGTACAATAGCTTGTCATTTTCTTTCACACCAGCGATGTTCAGGTTAGCTCGGAAGTTAGAGGCAGAACAGGTGGTTTGAATTCAGTTTTCCTCTTCCTAGACTGGTAACCAAGGCTATTGGGCCCAGTCTGTCTTGATATTTACCCCTAGCTGGGTATTAGCATGTAAGTGAATGCAATAAACTCAACTGGAATTTGAACTCAGCTCTCCAATTCCTCAATCTGTACTGCTATCCACTGTGCATACTTTTTATAATATTGGTTAAAAAACAGTTTAAATGAAAAATGTTCCAATTATAAGTTAAATATACCTGGTTTTCAACTTCTCTCAATCTTTCAGTTATTTGTAATTGACTTTCCAACTTTGGGCGTATTTGTCTAATTTCAAGCAACAAGCTTTGAACCTCTGCTGTTGGCACCGCTAACTGAGTAACAGGCAGATTTGGAGCAGTACTGAAATGTTGCTGTTGATGCTGTAGTTCCTCGATTTTCATCATCATTTGTTCTGTCCTGCAAAAGAAAACATTTTAATAATAAAATCTCATCATCATCAGCCCTGTGACCAGGTGTAGTCATAGGGTCACTGCCTCAGGTGAGTACCTGACCAGTTCTCTCCACATTTCTGAATTGGAGGCTGGTCTTTTCAGTGTGCTTTGACTGCAGATGTCAGAGAACGGACAAGAAGGGATAGTAAAGAGTCAAATATTGCTTAAAGCTGCAAGTGATAAGAAGTTGTGGAGAGCCATGATTGCTTATGTTCTGAAGGGACATGGTATATAGATGTAGTGTTAATTGTAACTCTGGCTGGCTGGGATAAGATTTATTGTCTGAAGTTACCTACTCAATTGAGTTAAAATCAGATAAATGACACTATTGTTATTAGATCACCTACTTAATTTAAGTATAATTCAGTAATTAATACTGTTATCTATTTTAATCTACATGTATACAGATGATACAAAGATCAGATATTCCATTGTGTAGGGAGTGTGACAACAGATATATAAAGGAAGACTTGCGAGAAGAAGGTGGTGTTCTTTGTACTGAAAGTGTCAGCAGGCTGGTACAGAGTGTTGGTTGTTGTGTCGAGCCACAGTGTTATTTGCACTGCCGTGCCAACAAGACTGCTGTTGAAAAATAAAAAGTGGATTCTCCCCACAAACACTGGTTGTTGTTATCTTTGGTGTGTCCAAATGAATCTTTCCCTAACTTCATTTCCTTGTGAGCATACTCTGATCTTGGCAGCTTTGGCCAACACTGACAAGCCATCTTAAAAAAAATACTACAAAACACAACATGGGATTGATTGCTTCTTTAGCAAATCTGTTGGGACAGTAGGATATGGCCTCATAATATTTGAAGTTCTTAGATGAGGAATAACTGTCAATTATTTATTTTTTAATAGAATTTTTTTTTTTTAATCATAACTTTGAAATCAATCAGAAATGTTATTGAAAGAGTATGAATTAAATTTTTCTTATCTGCCATTTTATGTGTCAAAATGACTGCTTATTTTTGGTTTTTCATTTCTCTGCTATAGCTGAAATATCAATTTTTTTTTCTTTTTTACTAAGTTTAAATGATTACAAAATTTGAATAAAGAAAATATTGAACATATGCAGATGTCCATGAAGAAATGTATGCAAATTCTTTAAAAAAAACTGGGGTCAATATATAAAAGTCAACTATTCTATCCTTTTTACTGTCATATTTACACAGGTCAACTCTACTACAGAGCAATCGTTAGTAAGTTTCTCACAGGTTATTACTACTAAACAGGCCATTCAAGACTCACTCTGATCTCATACTTGTGGCCTTGTGCCAAAATAACCTACTACCATTTTAAAAAATACAACATTTTTATACTGTATTCAGTCTCTAGTTAAAAGAAAAATAATTCACGAGTGTCATTTACACACATCAGCTAATATAATTAAACATTACAACATGCAAATTACAGCTACAAAAAGCAAACAAGTACAACAATTTAAATTTCTGGGCATGTTTAACAGAGGATGGAAAGTGCAACACTGAAATTTCAAGGGGCATTGGGATAGCAAAAATTACCTTCCAAAAGCTAAGCAAAGTATTAAGAAACCAGAAAATTTTGTTAGAAACTAAGAAACTTTCTATTATGTAATAATCAGTCCTCCTATATAACAGTGAATGCTGGACAATCTCCTCACAGATGAAAAAGAGACTAGAAGCAACAGACGTTGAGAGTAAAATGGACTGAACATGTGAGGAATGGTAAAGTTTTAGAGAAAATGGAAACAAAAAAGCCACCTATACTTAACATCAGGAAGAGTTAGTTGCAATTTCTAGGTAACATAATGAGGAAAGAGAACTTAGAAAATTTCATACTCACAGGACATTGAAAGCAAGAGGGACAGGAAAACATTGCATAACCTACTTAGCAAGTTTGAGTAAATGGATGGCAGAGCAAGGTTTAGAAAAGGTAACAAGACAAAATTTACTGAGAGCTTCAAAAGACAGGAAATTGGGAAGAGCCCTAATTGCTTACATTCTGAAGGGACACAGTGCATAGAAGATGCATCTGGTTGGGATAGAATATTTTAATATTATCACTATTATCTCTATGAATTAGAGTGTTATTAATGCTTAATTTTATGAGAAATATTTGGGAAATTTCTCCATACACTATGTTTGAAAAGGAAATCTCTTGTTTGCATACAAGAAATACAATAAAAAAACTCAGCAGAATTAGCTAGTTAGTCATTTTCAATGGAAGATGTAATAGAATGGGATTGCTGTCCACCTGCACAACTATATATATATATATATATATATATAATGGCTATGTGACGACATAAATATTTACCTTATCATTTAAGCATTAATAAAAAAAAATATTTATGTAAAACATGAAATACAATTTTCTAAACTCAAGAAAGCCCTGGAATGCTCAATAACAAGAAGAGTAACTGTCTGAAAAACTGGATGCCAAAATGGCTACAACTGAAAGGGAAAAAGCATAAAACCAATAAGGAGAAAGTATAAAGTGACAAGAAAAATGACAGAAAGAAGAAATAGAAGAAATAACCACATCATTCTACATGTATGTGCAGGTGAGTGTGCATGCATGAACACACACACTATGAAAGAAAAAAAAATCAACCTTTTACTAATGAAATATATAAAAGAAAAGATAAAAAATATAAACAGTCAATCATCTAACTGAAAAACTTTATATTTTCATTACATTTAGAATTAATGCAAATATATATATATATATATGCATTTGTGTGCTTCTTAGTGGTCACATGCTATGCATGGCCAGTTGAAGCACACAAACTGCTCAAACTCCACACTGTAAAATTACTATACACAGAATTTCATCAACCAAAACACATCCTTGATAATGGCTAGAGAAGTAGCTGAAAGCGCTCAGGACAATTATAACTATGGACAATTCCTATATTCTTTAACCCCTAAAAAATGGAAAAATGTTAAATTGCTGGAAAATCTCAAAAAAAGATTAATTAAATTTTCTTTGTTGGTCATTTTCAATAAAAGATGCATGAAAGAAAGGTTGCTGCCTAAATACTAATATATATATATATATATATATATATATATATAAAAGAGCAGATTATTTTTATCAACTTTGAACAGTCATTTTTAACATTGGAGTAATTGCTGAAAAGAATCTTTCAACTATGAATAAAATAAATTGCTAAAATATAGAAAATAATGATGTTCCTGTTTACACAACAACAAAAAGATATTTTAAGCAGAAGTTAAGGTTTTTATCTGTTTCTTACCTATCAGATGTGATGGACACTTTTCCTTCCATGCTATTATTCTCAAATTTCTCTTTTTTCCTCACATAACAATCAGCCATTTCATCCTCCCAATGCATCAGCTGCTTTTCAATTTGGGACAGATTCTTTTCTGAAAGAATGAAAGAAAGAATTGATTTAATAATCCAGAGTTGGTTAAACATGCTTCATATAAGAGCAACAAACAATAAACTTTAGATATTTGAGAGCCATATACACACCAAATTTGCACATATTTTGTTATGACTATTTTATATAAATATTAATTATGTATGCACTAGTATTTATTCATTATAAATGTATAATTATATAATAATTATATACAAGGTCTGATCAAAACATAATTGCACTGGTGTTATAAAAAGAAAACAACAACACATCTCAATTCGGCATTTAAACTCCTTCGAAGTAGTCCCCTTCTGAAGCAACACACTTTATCCAATGCCGTTTCCATTGATGGAAGCATTCCTGGAACTCCTTTTTAGGATAAAAAGCAGTTACCACATCACATTCTCTTAGATTTCATTGATGTCTTAAAATCTTGTTCCTGTAGGGTCAGTCTATCCAGATTAAAAGTGAAAAATTAAAATCTGAATGTCATGCCTACAAATATAACAAAATGCAAAGAAATGATTTTTTTTTTCACATAGGCAAAAGGAAAACCAGATTGAAATAATCATATATTTATGTATATATTAACATTTGTTTTTATATGGTAAACATTGTGTTTGTTCTGGTCGTAAAAAAATCAAAGTTCAAATGTTCGACAAAATTTTCCATTTGTTAAGGGTAGTTCATAAAGTCATATGACTTGGTCAATATAAAGTGTGTATATATGAGCATGTGTCTGAAACATATTTTAACAGAGTGTGTGGTTGCTAACTGAATATGTATGTGTGTGGATGAAGCACATTAGTAGAAACATATGTGTGTGAGTGCTAATATGTAAATCTGATCACAGTGGTTCCAAAAGGAAATGGACATACAGATAGATGATCAGATTTACTTTTTTCCATGGCTATGAATATTTTTTTGAATTGTGTGAATATTCCTTTGTTGTGTAGTCATTGCTGACTGAGGTGTTGTCATGATAACAAGAGAATTCTGGTTGAGTATTTACAGATCCAACCGCCTGTCATCTACAAGTGATCCACATCCAGCTGCTGACTGGGTTTTTGCTATATGTTTTTTGTTGACACTGAAATTGGTGTATATATAGTTATCTTGATAATGTGATTGGCTCCAAATAAAAGCTTTTTGGTTTACATGGGATAGCACCCATTTGGAGTTCAAACATACAGATGTAGTCAGAAATGTGACCATACTGTTCAATCAAATTCCAGAAACCACTCATTTAATTTTGGATCCTTTTTTTTTTTCTTACTGATTGTAAAAAATGTTTTTGTTTTAGTGATTCTGATTCTATTTGTATGTGGGCATTTCTTACCTATTTGTGCTTCACCTATTGGTTGTAAAATATAGGATTTTATATCCTATATTTCTTTCAAGTAGGATTTGATTTTTGGAAAGAAGTTGAAAGGGGAAAGATCTGGAGAATGTTGTCCTTCATCAAAGACTGCTGCTCAAGCCATGGTTACTGATGGAACCAATGATGACCACAATCTACACACTTTCCTTCCAAACACGGCGAGAACATTATAACTTAGTGTGCATGCATGACAGAGTTTGAGGTCAATCTGTACCAAGCATCTTCACTCTTCATAACTTTAGCTTAGTTACTAAACTAAGTAACTAAATTACTTAGTCACTTTAGCTTAGTTACCATCGCAACAGTCTACATACTTTTTAATCAGACCTCATAATTGAATATTATTTTTGTTACTATTTACTTTTTTTTTAATTTAATTTGAATTAGTTTCAGCAATCACAAAGTACACGTGTACCAAATGTTTTAGAATTTTCACTGATAATTGTCTTTTGACTATATTGAAGGAAATAGGACTAACTTCGGTCTTGGTGCCTGCAAAAAAATGGAGTGTCAAAAGGATGTTTCTTTTTCCATTGACACTCCTATCATTTTAATTACCTTCCATCCTAAAAAATTAATTTTTGTTTCAAAAAGCGATGATTAGAATTTTAATAAAACAAACGTATGCTGAAAGTGAATTTATAAATTTTTTTGTGCTTGCAAATTTACAACAAATATATTAAACACTATTTATTTATTAGATTGTTTATTTACAAGAATAATTTTATATTTACAACATTCTAAAAACTAATACAATGTAATATTTATCATTTAGCAATTTATAAAAAAATAAATATGAAAACATTGACAACAAAAATAATAAACACTATTTATTATTTATTCAAATGATTGGCAAAACTGCTAATTGATTCAAACTTTAAAAATGGTAAATAAGGATTTACTTATAGTTGGTTCACATAAGTTAGTAAATGTTTATAATTTTATGAATAAAAAATTGTTTTCATATTTATTTCTTTTTTCAACTGGTAAATCATAAATATTACATTCCATTAGTTTTTAAAATTATTCTTGTCAATAAACAACCTAATAAATATATAGTATTTAATATTTTTGCTGTAAATTCTCAAGAACAAAAAAAATGTATAAATTCTTTTTTATCATATGTTTAGGTTTTCTTTCAATTTTTAAAACAATAATATTTGTTAAGGATAGAAGCTAGTTAAAATAAGAGTGGTGTCAATGAAAAAGAAACATCATTTTGATACTCCCTTTTTGCAGGCATGAAGATCCAAGTTTGCCCATATTTTTTTCTTGCTTACCTTTTTAATCAACTGACAGGTGAAAAGCAGCTAATTCAGATTACTTTACACCTTAAAATGTCATAGTTGCATTTAGCTTAGAGCTATAGATTGACATCTACTTACCATTCTAACTCAAAATGCCTGCCATTCTCATTCAGAACTCATCTTGCTGTCATTTTGCAAGGTTTTAGTTATAATTGTATGGCATTCATTATTAATGTAATGTTGATGTAATTAAAGACATCCTTTTTTCACAATCATGCTTATGGTCACATCACATTGAAACACCTGTTCCTGTACGATCACCAAAGTTAACAAACATCAAGCCTTGTCAGTACCTAGATAGGTGACTGCTTGGGAATACCAGGTGCTGTAAGCTTGGATGTGTGGGTGGTGTAATGGATAATGGCACAGAATTGTTTGACTGAAAAGCTAAGTTCCAATTCATGTTGGGTTCATTATATACACCTATGTACAAATACCCTTGGGAAATGTATAAATCCGCCTCTTCTCCCACCCAAGGTTTATTTAATAAGATTTGTATCAATAAATCATTATCTCCCCAACCCCCGAAAACATTCTTACAATCTAAAAGTATTTTCTGGCTTTAAATACCCTGCAAAAGGTTGCTAAACCATAGAAAACAAATTATTACATAAAGAATAAACTTGAAAATCTTACTTACTAAATGCCATGTCTTTATTTTCTTGAGCTTTAAATTTTCTAATTATGACACAGAAAAGTAAATAGATATGACTCAGCAGGATAAATGGTGGGGGCAATGGAGGCCGCGTGTCATATTCAGAGATTAAGCCAAACCTTTGGAAGTGCCAATGAAGATCAGTATTATCCTGAACTTTCTGGAAAGTATTACTGGAAGCAAAAGAAAACACAGGCAATTATCAATTAAATTTTCAGTAATATTATCAAACAGTTTACTTCAATTTAATCATAATGAAAAGTAGTTAAAGAGATTTTGCATCTGCACTGCTAATTTAAAATAGTAAACTTATACCAGCTATAGATATTTAATAAATTTAGCCTATTTACAATTGTCCTCATCTTTGTTGTTGTTATCAGGTTTCGACTTTATGCCCTTCTGCCTTCATCAGGGGTATATCGATCCACGTAAATGACAGTGAATTTAAAACTAAAACCTTTATTTAATCTAGACTGTTCTCATTCCACTGTCCATGTCTAGGAATAAATCATCTTGTTCTTATTTAATACTGCTCACTTATTTGCCTCACATTTTGACAATTGATTCCTTTTCAAAAAAAATTACACATAAAGTTTACTTTTATAAAAAGATGTACTTAATAAACATGACCAACTGGAATATGTGTGAAATCTTACCTGCCTACCTGACCCTCTCACTCTTTCCATTTTCACCACCTCTTTCTCCCTATCTGTTTTTTTTATCTATTTGCCCCAAGCTAGGCAATAATGCCACTAAGATTCAAGGGGCTACTGGGAGTGAAAAAGAATGAAAAGATTTTAGAAGGAACAGGAAACCCAATCCTAAACAGGTAACAAGGGATAAACTTCTACTTCCATTCAAAAGATGAGGAAGCAGTGTGAACTGGGCAACAGGCAAACCTATTGACTCCTCCTCTCCCCGGCTCTCTTTCCCTACCCCTCTCTCTTTGTTAGCAGTTGAAAAATGGTAGCACTTATGGAAAAAAGCAGTTGGAAAAAAGAACTTAGCTTAGTAAAGCCAAACTGAAGTATGACAGTTCAGTTACACAAACCTTTCAAATAAAGAGGGCTTGCCTAGAAAATCAGCATACAAAATCTTGACTTATTACAAAGATATGAACACTAACCTTTGGTGGAAAATAAGCCACTGTATTAATAACAAGGTAGACCAATTTTGGTATCACCTACATCTATAAGTTATCATGTAGTCTCCACCATTGTAGAGTTTGTAAATGGTTTACATAATTTTAGACTCTGGGAAGTTTAAAACCCATGTAATATTTTAATGATTTTCCTACTTACCATATTCTGAAACCCCTGCGATTATCAAAACCTCCCTTTGTAATAGGTACCTGATACCAGGGCAGTTGTGTATAACCCCCAAACTACCCAACTGTGAGGGTGGAGGTCAAACCTGATTGGGGGCCCCCAGGTAGTGATTTGTGAGACTTGCTATTTTATCAACATTTGCTTTTTTTTCTACCTACATCTATATATGTTATAAATTAAACTAATCACAACTATTAAAAGATGAAAAATTTTCATGTATTTTGATGACATTCTGAATTTTTTGTAAAAAATGTGTGAACTTGTTTTATCCATAATGTTGAATATGTTAAAATTATTCAACTTTTTAACAAGAAAAATTTCAAGTTGATGTTAAAAATTGCTGCAAAACATTAATTATTTAAAATTTCAATTTTTCTAGTTGAATTGTTCACCTATATTGTATATGATCCCTTATTATACATAATTAGGTTACAACAAAATTTGTATTTCATAAGAATACTACTTTATGAAAATTGAGGTGTAGTAAAGTGGTGGGGGGCTATATTATATATATATATATATATATATATGTGTGTGTGTGTGTGTGTGAGGATAAACTTTTGTCTAACAGTAATTCTTACATCATCATTTAACATTAAATGAAAGTTAAATAAAATCAATGAAAACTTAAATGAAGTTAACATTCATTTATTTGTGGGGGTAGTGTAATGGTTATCAGAGCAAAAAAAGAAATCAAAGTTCCAAGTTCAAATTCTGGCCTTTTTCACTTTTGCATAAATGCCCTTGGAAAATTTATGAATTCTTTTCTTCTCCCTCTAGCTATGGGTTAAATAGCAGGGTAGATTATGTTCTTTGACTGGTTGCTAAAAGAAGAAAAACTTTGAATTTCAAACTATAGAGAAGGGATTGAGAAAACATTCCAACCAAGTTGATTAATAAAATCAATTGATTAGTTTAAGGGAGTAATTAAACCTTATGAGTGGAGAAACAGATTTAAAATTTTACATATTTTTCTATCATGCAGAATGCTGAATTAAGACAAAGATTCAAAGGGTAAAAAAAATTGAAACTGTTTTACTTACCTGAACATGGCAATGAGAAGATTAAGCAATAGGATATTTGTCAATAAAATGTAAACACCCATCATTACTGGTACTATTTTTATTCCTATTTCAGTTGGGCATTTTCTCAACAACATATTGCCGTTATCAAAAGTAACAGGCGCAGAGCTTTCATTACACTCCTCCCCTGGCAAAAAAAAACGAAGAAATTAACATTTACAAATTTTTATATATATATATATATATATATATATATATATATATATATATATAGATAGATAGATAAAGTTTGGTTTGTTTTGTCTTACGGCATATCAACCTCAATGGGTCATTTAATGCTGACAACATTTTTTTCCTGGTAATATATTTTTGTCAAAAATCTATTTCTGGTAATATTTTTTTCCACAAAAATGTATAGCTGGCAATATTATTTTAAAAAATGTATTGCTGGTAATATTTTTTTTTCAAAAACTTATTGCTGGTAATAGTTTTTTTACAAAGTATTTCTGGTATTAAAACGTATTTTTACACTTTCATAATGCTTTTTACCTCAGTTTTGCAGTTAACTATTTGCCCATAGCTGGGACCCTAACAGATGCTACCACCCCAGGTAAGGGTGGACCTGGGAATACCAGCAATTAAGAGGTGGTTCCACGCTCCTCAAATCCATCTGATCAGAAGCCTTGCTGTTGATGTACTTTATTGTCTTACCCTGGACGCCGATGTAGTTTATCGTCATACCCAGGACAGTATATATATAAAGATTTTATTTGTGGTACAAAACTTGCATCCATGCAGGAAGACATTCTTCCTCCTCATCATAATAGTTCTTTAATTTATTCATTTAAATGTAGTTGTGGTTCACACTACATAGAAAGAACAACTCAAAGACGAAAATAAAACAGGATGTACCAACAAAAATCTGAAACTAAGTATTCTCTGTCAGATATTCTGACCAACACACACAAGTCTACCATTGCGGATGAGTGGTAATAAAAACAAATTTTGCTTATTTATGGTGGTCATTATATATATATACACACACACACACACAGAGGGTGCATTGGGTAATTTGTCATTTAAATTACACAAAAATTAAAATAACACATTTTGTTGGTCTCTTGTGCTCCATACATAATAATCAAGGGGGTTGAAAAGTTAGGTGGCCAGATGTAAGGTGTGATGTGGTTGCAGAAATTATCTGACAGCCATGACTGGGTTTTCCTATTTGTGTGGCATGGTGCAGAGTCCTGTTGCCAGATATAGTGAATTGTGTCATGGTACTTTTTCTCTCACAGATGGTATCCAACTGATTCTACTATACTGTTCAGTCAATAAAATCAAAAGCAACATGCATGCATGCATGAAATTAAAAATATAAAATGGCGACAATTTACCAATCGCACCCTGTAAATATAAATACATTTAAACAAAAGCTTTTTGTTACAATGACAACAAAGTTGAAAATGGATTTAAAAAAATAAAGTACAAGATAGTAAAGGTGTCTTTCAATATGCATACAACTAAAATTTCATGAAAAACAAGGCACTTTTTATTTAATTTTTCTTGTGTTCATATAACTCCTAGATTCCTATAATTTTAGATACATGCATAAATAAATAAAAATTAAAAAATTCCATACATTCAGTTAAAAAAAAAAACCAACAAAAAAAACATCTTTGATAATGGCTAAAAGAATAGCCGAAAATGCTTGGATATACAGAAAATTTGTAGAATTTTTACAAACTTCATGTTCAGAAAAGAAAACACTTATATAAACACAAGAAAAATTAAATAAAAGGCTTAATCGCTTTACCTTGTCAGTCATCTTTAATGAAACTTGTATAAAAGAGAGATAGCCAAATATTATATAAGTTCAAATACACACACACACATATATATATATATATATATATATATATATATATATATATATATATATATATATATATATATAGGAATACCAGATGCTGTAAGATTAGATTTGCGAGTGATGTAATGTATAATGGCTCAGAATTGTAAATTGAAGAGCCAAGCTCCAATTCCAGTCAGGTTCATTATATTTTTACTTATGCAAAAATGCCCTTGGAAACGGGATGAATCCAACTCTTTTCCTCTTGCTATGGGTTAATTAGTATGACTTGTATCAGTAAATCATTATTATCTCAAAAAAAATCTTAAAATATTTTCTGGCTTTAAATAACCTGCAAAAGGTTGTTAAGTCATAAAAAACAAAATCAATGAAAATAATGATGACACATATTTACTTTATACTATAATTATACATTTTTCAATGCACTTAATTCTGTGATGATTATAAATAAGTTTTGAAGATTATACACTGAGAATCTCACATCAAAATTCAGCTAATAACCTCTCTTTATTCTGACTCAAGGTTACAAGTATAGGAACTTAGTGGGGATTGATTACCCACTACCACTTTCAGCTAAACTAATTGCAATACTCTGTAGGGAACAAAACAAGATCTAGATTTAGATTTAAAATTCAAATGCTAAGCACTAAATAAATAAAACTTGTATCAGCAGTAGCTTGAATATAAAAACACATGAACTCTAAAGTAACTCTCTCTTCTGTGTTTTCCCTTTTTTGAACTGATGACATGAACTTCTTGAAACTAAAAGGGCTGTGAATGCTTCACACTAAAACTCACCAACTCACTAAGTTCCATTCAAACATATTCATTGTGTATGCAATTTACTTCTGTAGGAAGAAACTCTCTGCTTTTGCTAATTTTGTTTTAATAAATGTTATCTTGTATTGCAAATCAATTGGTTTGTTGTTTTGTGCATGCACTCTTTTTCACCATTATTTCATGTACTATAAAATGTTCCCATAAGAAACCATACACATTTAATTATTGAAATAATCAATCACTGAACTTGTAACCACAACAAAAAAAAAAAGTTTTTATGCTAAAAAAGAATGTTATTTTTTCATTAAAAAAATAGTTTATTAAAATTTCACACTAGTGAGGTTTCACAAGTTTTAATTTATATGGATTTTTCTTTAAAATAGATAAAATTATGCTACATTCTGTAAGTATTATTTACACTAACTACTGATATGTTCCTTTTTGTATTTCATTTTTGAAATCTTTTCATACAGGATTTTTTCTTAGTAATTTTCAGAAAAAGACAAAAAAAAAAAAACAATTTTTCACTAGACTTGCCTTTGAATTAACAAATATTTTATGATAAAATATTTTATGAAAAATATGAACCATAATAACAGTTAAAATAAATATTTTTCTCTTTCACAAAACTTATTAGAAAATCATGAAATAATGGGAATAATGCTGTCACTAAACCGACAAAGTGACCCATCTCATCTTTGCCATTTTTATTTCTTCACAGCACACTTATTGACCTAATTACTACTATTGACCTAATTGTTGACTTAATTACTACTATTCAAACACATAAACGAACCTACTAATTTAAGTTTCTAAAGATGGCAGTGTTTGAGGTAAATAGCAAGTTATCTAGCGTTAATAAATAAATATTAATAAGAAAGAAATTTACTGTTACAAGATGAGCAACATCTCTGTCCTATTTTAAATCTACTTACTAGATATTTATATAGTGTTGTCCATTTAGAATTTTTCTCTGAATATTTTTCAAAAATAATATTCTATACCATTAAGTGGTGAATAAGAAATATTTTTTATGTGCTACACCATTTTGATACTACATATGAATGTGCATTTATTTTTACAAAACTCATAGAATTGCTATAAAAAAAAAAAAAAGAAAAAAAGGAGGAACTCAAATTAGGTTCTGTCTTTGAAAACATACCTGTATTCTCTAACGATGACACTGGACTGTTTTTTAGCTTCCTGGAAGCCATTTTTGTGATGAAAAATATTTCATCACAAAAACAAAAATTTGCTTGTATAGTTTCTGTGTTACCTCAAGAAACAGCCATGTGTCTATGGGATCTCCTGATAAACCCACCACAAACCAACCCATATGACAAATTAAATAAGTAGTCAATACTCCAAACTTCACTATTTGAGGCTGCAACAATTATTGGAAATGGAAACATTGGGAGATAGAAAACCATCTCAACTTCTGTGTCATTTACAGACTTTGTCTGGCAATATATTGGATGACAGTGTTTTATATATTTATAGGAAAGCTGACACAAATGGAGCAGGTATCGTTAACGGCAATGGGAGACAATGTATCCATGAAAGCTGTGTGATATAGCTGATAAATTAATGGAAGTCATGACCCAAGACAAACTAATTCAAGTGTGCAGACTGAGTGATGACGTCACCCAAATACAGGAGGAAAATAAATTGTTGAAGAGGCAAATAGGTGACTTAACTAAGAAAATTCAACAATTGCAAAGACACCAGCATCGCAGCTTGTCAAGAAGCAAACAACAGTACAAGAACAAGTCAAAAAGAAATAGTGATATCTGTTACTACCATGAGAGATGCGATAACAGGATTATTAATTGCACAACTCTTTGCAATTACAAGTGCCAAGGAAACAAATAAATCAACAATTTTCATTGGTGGTACATGTTGGTATTTCAAACTCAAGAAGCAGAAGAAAATTCCAAATTTTTAGAAATATTGTCCAATTATCAAGACATAATGGAGCCAAAATTCCACACTCCTGTGAGAAAACATGATATCACACATTGTATTGAAACAACTGGTCCACCTGTCTTCTCACAACCTCATTGACTTGCCCCTGATAAACTCAATATTGCCAAACAGGAATTCCAGCATTTAGCAAACCTTGGAATAATTTGCTCTTCAAAAAGTGAGTGGTCTTCAGCTCTATGCATGGTACCAAAACAGAAATCATCCTTATGGAAGCCTTGTGGTGATTACTGCAAACTGAACATGATTACTCTTCCTGAAAGGTACCCAATTGCTAATATTCAAGATTTTGCTAGCTAACTACATGGAACTAAAATCTTTTCAAAACTTAACCTCATCTGAGCCTACCTTCAGATACTCATAGAAGACTCTGACATTTAGGCTTTACAAATTTTTACCATTTGGACTACAGAATGGTGCTCAATCCTTTCAAAGATTTATGAAACAAGTTCTTCAAGGACAAGATTCAGTCTTCTGCTACATCAGTGACATGCTTGTTGCCAGCTCTTCACCAGAAGAACATAAATAGCATTTACAAGATGTTTTGAAAG